ACATTGTGATGCAATCTAAACATATATGTGTTTAAATTCAAAAATATGTTAAGTCAACCAACCCTCATTGGCTGGGAATGGTTTACAATAGTCCAATTGACCCTAAAACTTAAGATAGGCTCCCCTTATTAAAGACTTGTAACTCATGCGCAAAACTTTGCCGATAGCCTTATGACGACACACGTTCACTGAAAGTACTAAACGTATAGATATAATGGGTTTTTGGGGGCGTCATCGGCAAACCTACGCAAGAGTAATGTAATAGCTGATCAAAGTAATATTTTAGTTTATTGATATTATTTTACAAACATATGATTTAGTTTAATTAATTATTCAGGTTACATGCGTTTCCGGAATTTCGGGTAAGATGTAGGTCTTATTATAATTTTATATTTTCATATATTTTGATTTCAACATTAATAAAATATCAATACTTTAGCGACGTAAAAACAATCTTCATTAAAAAAAAATACGAAATATAATTCGGAAAGTTTTTTATAAACATAAATTAGTTAATTTGATATTATCTATTGATGTTGAATAAGAAAGAATAGTAAGTTTCATATAGCTTAGTTTCATCTACCATTTAAAGTCAAAGCATTAGGTTAGCACATTCATATGTACACTGTAGGCCAAAAGTTTGAGTTATCATTTACAGATTTAAAATATTCTGCAAATTATAACGTGTGTACAAAGTGGTGTCAAACTTTTGGCCGGCAGTGTATAGTATAGTGATAGCATTTGTTCTTAAATATTTTAGAGTTTTTGCTAAACAATCACAGTGCTTGCTACAGTTAGTAAGTTTTTTTATGGTAATAATTTTTGACAACATCTATAGTAATTAATTTTGTATATTGGATAGAGAATTTTAAGTGGCTTTAGAATTAAACAAGTGATTGATATTGTATAAGAAATTCTAACACATATGAGTCTTAGTGTAGAAGTGTGTATGTGGTAACACAGTATATTTCAACACCGTATAATTATATTTTTATTGTGTTTATTGCTAATAGTGTTAATTTTTTGTTCGTTTGATAAAAAAAACTTATTTAACATGTTAAATTGTATGAAACTCCTTATAATTAATCTTTTATTTTACAGGGTATGAGCAAATATGTCGATAATGACAACATAAGGTACGTTTAATTTTATTTCATTAATATAACAATCAATATTAAATTATAATGAATTTTTAAATTTACTCAAGTATTTACTGAGATTTGATATTATTCATAAGTGAGAAAGTAATTTGTATTTCTATTTTTCAGAATATTGCGTTTTTTACAGTGAATAATAAATATTTTGTAACTTTTCAGACCCCATACTCTTAGTAAGGCGGATAAGAAAAAGCAACACGGCAACACGGGTACTATGAAACTGATGTCAGCTCACGACGAGAGAACTCTGGATACGGCGGTAGCACTTGCTAATGAGATAACAACCAAGTAAGTATAGATTTTCATTAAATAGAAGGCAATATTTATTACAGTTTGTAAATATCTTACCTTAAAGTCATCAACGCAATACGCAGTACTTCCCCCATCACCATCATCATTATCGTCATTATCATTATTATCAACATTGTCGTCGTTGTCGTCGTCATTATCACCATCGTCATTGTCGTCGCCATCATCATCATCATCATTATCATTATTATCATCAGCAGCAGCAGCAGCAGCCTTTATCTGCCTACTGCGAAACACAAACATTTTAGAAGCTATATGTAAACTATAATGCATTTCATGAGTAGAATTTTAATGTGTTAATATAATTGACAAACGAGTAGCTATAGTTTGATTATTTGATAATTATCTTTCAGACTTTGTGTGCATGAATTAAAAAAATAGTAAGTAGCCTATTACCTACCTATTAAGTACCTAGTTCTATCAATATCAATGAAAGTTTAGATGGATGGATGTTATAGTTTGTAGTCTAAACGGCTAAACGGATTTCAAAGAAATTTGGCATAGACGTAGATGATAGTCTGGAAGAACATAGGCTACTCATTTTTTTATAATATCACGCCGAGCGCGTCACAGGCGAAAGCTAGTATAATTATATGTTTTATTTACAGATCTATGAATGATCTAGACGGTGACCAGAAAGTGCCAAGTTCCCCTAATGATCGTTCCAAGTTCCACTTCAAGTTTCCATTGGTGTCTTTACACCAGACCGCGACACATGACGGTGATGCCGCTGGTAACTTAATAACTTATACTTTGTATTTTTCATACTTAATATTATAAACAGGAATAATTTGCAGTTTTGTATTGAAAAAACTCGAAAATAACTTAGACGATTTCAAAAATTCTTTCACCATTAGAGAAAGAAGATATATTTTCCTTTTTTATAATTCCAAGTGAACGAAGGCGCGATGTTAAATATAGTGTGTTGGTGGTATTTAAAAATACTAAAGACTCGTTTATTTGCAGGTAAACATGAAAGACGTAATTTTAGTGAAGAAGCAAAAAGCGTACCGGATATTCAGGTACTGTATATTTTATTTTATAACAAAAGATGGATGGAGCTTAATATAATTTTGTAAAATATTTTATACCATGTCAATACAAGTATACGAGGTGGCATTAAACTTGATAATTGATTTAGTACCTTTCAAAGAAGTCACCGGTGAAAAAATGATAACTATGTCCAATCTATAGCTATACTAATATAATAAAGCGTAAATATACACTACTTTGTGGCGTAAGATGTCAGCAATTACAGCATATTTTTGAATATTTCTCTCTTTAATAAAAAGCCTTACACTCATGTCACGCTTTAAGCTCTATATTTTCACGCTTTTAAACTTTGGGGGTACAAATATAGGATAAAATCCGTAATGTGGGAAAATGACCCTAAGCTACAAGCTGTCAACATCAAGGAAGTAAGATTTCTATAGTTTTTCATCATGTCATGTCATTTTGACATTGCAATTGATAGTTTAACAAATGTAAACAATGTAATAAAATAATTATAATTTCATGCGGATGAAGCCGCACGGCAACAGCTAGTAATGTCACTTGTAATATGCATTTTGGTCAATTATTGAATAAAGACAGGTTTTCTTCTTAATAGTATAATAAAAAATCTTCTATTTCTTTTATATTTCTGCTACAGCTATTATATTCTAATCCATTTTTTTATAACAGTCTACAATAACGGCGGAAAGCAAGCTTGCTTACGCAAGTCTGATTGAAGAACCGATGCCATCAACTTCTCTCATATCTCATATGGAAATGACACACAAACCTGCAACAGTACCGAAGCCCGCGCCACGTTTTAAAGAACCTCGGGCTAACTTTCTCTCTCTGCAGAAACAACCGATTAACAGGTAATTCTATAAATACTATTTTTGTTAGTGTTACGTTTTATTCTTTATCTATACTAATATTATAAAGAGGAAAGTTTTAATTTTTGTATGTATTGAAATAACTCAAAAACTACTGGGCCGATTTCAAAATTTTTTGCACCATTAAAAAGCTACGTTGTCAGTGAACAACATAGACTATGTTTTATATTATTTTTTAATTTCACGCGGACGGAGTCGCGGACGAAAGCTATTATTAATATAATCCATAATTATTAAATTAATGTTTCAGACCGTCATCATCAAGAGATGCTATGGAGCAATTGCATACTAATAATGTAAGTTACAAGATTGCTTATATTCCATACAATTTTAATAAATAAATAAAATATAATAAGTATATCTATACTAATATTATAAAAAGGAAAGATTTTTATTTTTGCATGTATTTGATTCACGTAAAACTACTGGATTTTAATAATTCATCATTGGAAAGATATTTTTACTGTCAATAATATAGGTTATAGTTTTTAATTTTACTGACGTATGTTGCATAACATTTTTTTTTATTTTTAGACCATAAACGAGCTGCCTCTACCACCAAGGAGTACTAAACCAAAATTGATCGATAAACCTCGACACATAAGAAAGTATCCATTAAAACTACCAAACGCCAACCCAAACCCAGAGGTTCTACCGAAAACTAACAATGAACAGAATAATCAAGTTATAATATACCAGAATGCTATAACTTGCACAATGAAACAGAAAAATGTAGAGGAAAATAATCAAAAGATTTGTAACCAAGGTGTGGATGTATTCGATGGTCCTTCGAGAATTAATTTTGATACGAATCCATTTACTAATAGATCAGGGCAACGTCATCCGAATCCGTTTAATCCGCCTTTAACAGTAACTGACAATGAAGATGTATGCACGTGTCCTACGATAGAAAGGAAATCTCTCGGCAAAGGTATTTACTGCTACTATAAATAAAAAAATAATTACATAATGGTTCTAAAGATCATCAAAATCGTATCAAAAATATAATATTTTATTACAAATTTTTTTTTAAGGTATAAACAGAGATTTAACAGTCCTAAAATATTCTAAAATGTTTATCATAATGTACATATGTAGTGGTTTAAAAAACACTTGGAAATACAAGAAATTTGATTGTAATTACATTATAATTACTTACGTATACAGGGTGTTTAGTGAGATAATATAGATACCGTAGTGCCCCCCTTTCGGTGCTTGATTTTCATTTAGTAATGTAATACAATTAGATACATCTCATTTTTCCTAATTTTCAATTACATATTTTTAGATTAAGTTTATTCAGTTCGTTTTTTACCTAAAACGATCGCTAAATATCCCATTCTGAAATATCGATATTGTCTAACCAATCACCCTGTATAAAAAGTCTTTGCAAACCCTCTTATAGTTTCCTTTAGAGACACGAGATGGCGTACTAAACTTGATAACTGATTTATTACCTGTCAGAGAAATTACCGGTGATTTCGGTCACTATGCTTACTATATTTTTTTTAAATTTCCATGTAGATTACGTTTCTGTAGAAGATTTACTTGAATTTGCGGACCAGAAGCCCTGCGGCAGACAACGCGGCGTCGAGTCCGATGAAGTTCGTATTATGAACAAGGTGTTAAAACATCAGGTAATTTATTTATTTATATATATACTAGTTTTCGCCGACGACTCCGTCAGCGCGAAATAAATAAAAAAAAAAAGAAATGTAAGTAGCCTATTTGTTCTTCCAAACTATCCTCTACATCTATGACAAATTCATAGAAATACCTTCAGCCGTTTAGGCTACACACTCTAACAAATATCCATCCATCAATATAAACTTTCGCATTTATAATATTAGTATGATTAGTATGATATATATCTATTTATTTTTTTTTATAAAAAAAGGTAAGGCCGAACTTATACATTTACTTTTTAGCCAATTATGATGAAATTCGTCCAAATAATATTGTCGATAAATAATATTGTAATTATAGAGTCTTATTTTTAGGGACTAAATTATCAACAAACAATATATTTGTCAATTTTAACCCTTCATCCAAGAGTCTAATCTGACCAACAGCTTATTAAAAATATCTACTGAAAGTACAGGGAATACGTGAGATTTTGATTTTAGTGTGATAACATTTTTTGATATAAAAACAGTCGGATTAAGGATTAAAAGTCGCAGAATCATAAAATTACTGTTACTAAGAGTTTCACCTATTATACAACATTAATGTCACAAGATAATTAGCGCTAATGCAATATTGTATTCTGGTAAACCTATTGGAACTTGCCCTATTTAGTTGATAAGATAAACGCAAGCCCTTGACCTAAACAGACAGATAACAGATTTCTATTTACCAATGGTCCGAAACATTTATTAAACCCAAATTCTTGTCAAATATTAGGTATATTAGGTGTATTAACTTTTATATTAAGATTAAATCTTGATTGGTACAAATGAGTTACGCAAAATATACTTGGAGTTGCAGATATCAAAGCCCATACTAACAATTATACTAGCTTTGGCCCGCGACTCTATACACGTGGAATTTAAAAAAAACCAGTAGCCTTGCTGTTCTTCCAGACTATCCTCTACAGCTATACTAAATCTCATCAAAATCCGTTCAGCCGTTTAAGCTACAAACTCTAACAAACATCCATCAACTACAAACTTTAACAGTGGTAGAGTTCGCTTTAACATCTTCGCATCGCTTCTCCTTTTTCTTATAAGAAAAGGATGGGAATGGAACGTGGTTTTCACGGTAGAGAAGATGCATAGGAATGGGAAATATCCTCTTTATGTGCGTCTCTCTTCCGCCTTTTAAGAGTAGGCAACGCATCCGCTTTTACGAATGTCTATGGGTAGCGGTCGCTTTGACAGTTTGGCGTATAAAGATGGCCGCTTGCTCGTTTGCCATTTTATAATATATAAAATATCTAAACTTTCGAATTTATATTAGTATGATTTACGAGTTGAATTTGATTACAGACAACACCGGAGGAATGCCTCGAAGCTTTAGAAGTTAGCGATTGGAACGTGCACCAAGCTATCAAAGTGATAATGGTGAAGTTGTCAGTGAACACGCCCCTAGTGACCCTTGAGGAATGCATGCGGGAACTCGCGAACACCGCCGGAGACACAACTAAAGCTACCGCTGCCATTGTCGCGTATTTAAATGATTTAAGACAATAAATAATTAAAATAACTTTTGACTTTCATTTTCTTTGAAAAACCGACATATTAAAGATTAAAGTAAGTTTTTTCCATCACGGTCAAAGAGGGAACACACACAAAAAGACAATAGATCAAATAATTTCAAGATGTTTATGGATGTAGGAATATGAGGCAATGGGTTCGAATCCCTTGATTATTGTTATATTAAAAATCTTTATTTCTCACCCTATACAAGTAACAAAAAAATGTTATTTCTAACCATCGTAACTTACCTAACTACTAAATCCTGATAGGGTTAAGACATGAATGTATCTTAAATTTAGTTGGTACTAGCTTTCGCCCGCGACTCCGTTCACGTGGCATTAAAATGAAAGAAAGTGAGTAAGCCTATGTGTACTTCCAGACTGTCTACTAATATGCCAAATTTCATCGAGATCTGTTTAACCGTTAGGTTACAAACTCTAACTAACATCCACCCATCCATTCATCTAAACTTTCGCATTTATAATATTAGTAAGAAGTAAGATTACACTGCAGCAGATGAGAGACAGAAAAAAATGACTTATAAAATACTCTTTTCATTTTCTCGTTGCAGAATTTTACACCCTTTGTTTGCTTTACACACAGATGTCCCTATTACATAAAATGACCTCAAATAGTTTGGCGCAGGAGCCCCGCTGGCTACCTCGGAAATTTGTGTCAGGTCATGACCCAATATAAGATACCCGCACGGAACAATGAAACAAAGAGAAATGTGAGATTTCTATTTTTAGTAGAAATGACAAATTTAAAGTATTTTAATAATGAAATAGATTGTTTGTTCTTATTTATTTAATTACGTAAGCGATTAAGTCTAGATTAGACCTAAAAGAAAAATTAGTGTAATTTTCGAATGACAAAGAATAGAAAATATATAGCTGGTAATTATTAGTTAGTGGTGTATACCAACCACTTATTGTTTCTCAAATAAACCGTCATTTGTTTATCATAGTATGCATTCCACGTTTCTAGCACAAGTATTATAAAAGAAACAAATGCATAACTATTCGTCTCGATCAATGGAAACAACTTTCCATCGTCAAACGTCTCACCTTAATCGGGCCCCCAACCACATGGCCGATTCAATTAGGCAGAGGCAGCGTTGCTCATACTACCAAAGTTTGGATAACGTTACTCAACTGTTATAAAATACCATTATACCACGACCTATGAACCTAGTTAACTTTTCTTCAACCTCATACCATTATTATTTGTTCCAACGTCACTGCAGAACAAGGTTTTCTGGTGACCTATTTAGCGCTTAACGAAAAGCTACTCACGCACACATCAGAAAATTATGCAACTAAAGTTTCGTTACGGAGTCGTTCCTCGTTATTTCTCACGCTCATAATCATGGTTAAATAATGATCGCTTTTCTAACTAACGTTGTCGAAATGCTGTACGAGTGATTATCAAATAATTAATAAATTTCACTTCTAGAAAATCCTTATATTTAGTCAGCGTTGTTCAAGCAAAGTAAAAATGCAGGTAGGTGTGTGTAAATAGGTACAATTAAATTTCAAGTGTTTTATCCACGATTGCAAATAGTTTTTGAGATTAGAGTGCATAATATATTTGTAGATTTGGGAGTCTTTGTGTTAACCGCATCAGTCCGCAAGAGTAGGTATAGTCGGATCGGCGCATGCGCGAGTTTTTCGGCCTAGATCTCGTCCGGGGCCGGTGTCGGTGTGTGGGAGTGTGCGTGCATCGCGCGGGCCGAGGTCCCCGCGCATGTGTTGGTGCGGCACGTAGGACGCCGCTCGACCCAGATCGCGTCGCTGTCGCCGCTCGCCGCTCGCCGCCCGCCGCCCGCCGCACGCTCCACACCGCCGACCGGGATGGCGAACAAGTTTCACAGCATTTTCGCACTGGAAAATGGCTCCAGCTATAATAGAATTGATTTGATTATTTCAACCGAATAATCCCACACATCATAAAACCTAACTTCTGTTGAAATTACTGGCAACTAGTAGTGATGTGAAAGAAATGAAGAATAAGAGTTTAAAAATGGAATGGATATCAGAGATTTGAATTAGTTTCGACAGATGTCGTAGTTTTTACATAAAATGACTTTTTTTTCTAAAATGTATTATTTGTAAGAAATAAAGTTTTTGCTAGTTTCCATAAAGTATTTCCATTGCCAACATGCGCAATCAACTGCAAATACATTACCAACTTGGGTTTAGCACGAAAAGTTGTGATTAGCTACTTATAACTTAGTGTATATCTTCCTTCACTTTCTCATCATCATGGCATGTAACAAGACTCTGGAATTATTTGACAGTGCTACTGCACATATGATTAGGTAAAAAAAAAGTGACGACTGAAATGACGGAGGGTAGATCGATCGGAAGGACGTAAACATGGTGCTCCGTCTCTCCATGAGCGGGATAAGGACAGAGATTTTAGGAATAATGATGATGACAACTGATAAACTGAATAAAATTAAACTACATTTAATATCTATTAGCTTCACAGTATTAAACTGTGATGCCTCTTGATTGTATATCGATTGTAGTAGGAAAACATGATGAAATGATCTGAGGTTTCCATCTTAGACATCTCCGATTCATCAGATTTATTCTATTTTGGTTCCGTGGTAAGAGAATCCATCGATCGAATCAAGAGGATTTCCACATTGTAATCTGTATCCATAAAACCTTCTCTAAGCTGGAGGCGTAGCATGAAGTACGTCCATTCTTACCGGATGTAGCGGACACACTCAGGGCCGCTTGGGTCGCGCCCGACTATGCGACCTCGCACCTACTCACTGGGCTCGGCAACTTTCGCTAAACACTACAAGAGATGCGTTTGTGTGTTGAAAGTGCGTACCACTGTCCACACATTTTAAGTGATAAAGTCTATCTCTATGGCTTTTAAGCCTCAATGTCTATCCCATGTATCTAACATACAAGACACCACAAAGTACAAGAGTTACTCGACTTTAAGACGCAGTGTATTATAAGGAATGGAATATACATTGTGATACTAATTAGCGCTTTGTTTCATTGAGTTTATTAGGAGTGAAAGTAGATGAACCTTCTATCCTTGTTATAGTTGTATTCTTGCTGTATACATTAATTTGACTTAAAATTCACTTAATTACTTTCACGCAACCATTTACAACAAAATGTTTACGCTTAGAAATGTATGTTTAAAAGTTAAAACGTGTTACTTCGGCAGTGGTACTTTTTGATTACCCACGGACATGCCTTGTTGCGTTATGTAAATGGTCAGAGGTCGGATTTCAATTGCGCGTGACACTTACAATTCTAACTGTATCCCGTGATGTTCATTCATATAATGCTCAACTTGACGTCTACCCACATTTGTACATGATAGCTTACGTTGGCGAAAATTTTAGTAGCGATCTACTGACATCCAATGTATGTAAGTATCGGTGATCAAGCGAGCTATGTACTACTAGACTGTTTTAGGAAGTATTGCAGCCCAACATGAACGAAGGGTTCTTAAATAATGGCGATAGAATTATTATTAAAAACAAGCCCATCCCAATTATCTCTTAGAGTTAGTTAAAGTTCACTTATCAGCTAAACTACTCGTAGCCTGGGAAAGATCGATTCTTCTTTAACGTATCCCTAATCAATCTGACAATAAAAATTAATGATACCTACTGCTTGCAAGAGACCTATTTAAACGTTGGCTTTGCAATACGTGCAGGGTATAATTTATTACATACTACATTATATATTTACTTTGATGACAACATTTGCAAATCAGATAATGTTTCGATACGGTCTCTAAACTGATTTTGCCTAAATTTATATTTGATAACTAAATATTGTTATATTGTTCTTCTGTGGTCCAGCAATAATTTAATCAAGGAAGTTCGCCATCCGCATCAGTCATCTGTAGCGACTGAAATCTTTTTGTTCTCAGTGAAACTCTGCAGAATTCGAAATGGGTTAAGATAATCTCCTATATCCTTTTCAGCGAATATTCTGTTTTTTTCCGTGACTTTGTTTGAAGAGATAAATGTATGTACATAGAACTGTTGTATTTATAGTTTGAATAATGCATATTAAAATAGAATATTCCATTAGAACTATAGACTTAGTAACATATTGAACATATCCGCGTAACGTAATTATTAGAAGTTTCGAGTATGAAATTAGAAAAATCATTTCCGCCAACCTTTGTACATACGAGTATACTTGTGTAGTAGCACGTTAGTATATCAGTCAATCAGTTATTCTTTGTATAAAAATGCAAAACGGGTATTTCATATTATAATGTGAATGATCTTTTTGAAAGATACATGTCTAGTTATGCTAAATACATAGGATAACAATAGATACGACTTTGTTTACGACATTCGCGTCCCACTTTAACTATTCTATTGACATCTAGAATTATGAAACAATATCGAGGATAAAAAACGGTGAATGAAAAATTATTTGAATAAAATATACGAGTGAGGACAAATAACGGTACAATTTTATGTTAATATAAGACGCAGATAGAAATTCAAATTCCACTCCAATTTGCAACATCTAGGGATCATTGACGTATTTTGAAGCACAGATGAAAAAATAATCAAATAAATATTTTTTTAATTGTTATGATCACGTATCAAATTAGGTTACACTAGTATTCGAGAGATTCAATTCATGTTTATAATAACAGTACCTATGGACAAATAGCAGACCCTATGAAAACAGGTACTGTTTGTATATCAACATGAGGTTAAAAATGTTTTATAAGTCTCAGATCACCTCTGTTACACTGCATCAGATAGAATCAAGATGTGTTAAACTATTGTTTAATTTATTTAAATAATGAATACCAGATTCGGAATCGGCAAATATTTGTTGCCTTCGAATTTATGTTCGAGTTGAATGAACTTTTTATTAAATGTCCACAGATTGTGATTCATTTATTCTAGATAGACAAATTCGCACCGGTTGGTCAACATCACAATATCCTGACATATTCGTAGATTCTCTTTGTTATGTGAACGGCGGAAAAAGG